TCTCATTTTGCTTCGACACGCGCTGACCCACGCGCCGTTTCTTCTCAGTTGCCCTTTAAGCTAAGCTCTTCAAGGATCTCATTTCCTTTGAAAAATGGGTCCTTTAAGCTTCGTCATGAGCCTCCGCTGGCCCTCTCTACTCGTGAACCCAAAGGTAACCAACCTCTCTCTCTCTCTCTCTCTCTCTTTATTCCTTTGATTATGTCATCCTGCTTGAAATGGTGGGTTTGATTTGATCGGATTCAACTTTACCCTGTTTCTCTGTTTGTCTTCTTCTTTTGGTTTTTCAATGTTATTTATAGTGGCTAATCCAGTGAAGTTTGATTGTTTGGTTGCCTTTTCCCGGAATTTGTAAAAACTTGTTTCAAGCAATCAAAAGGCGTTGGTCTGTTAAAATATTCAGTTTCAGTTGATTGTAGTTGTAGCAACTGGCAACCAAGTGTAGGAAATATTTTTACTTTGAAGGTTTGGTGCTTTCAAACGAGTGTTGGTACGTTGGATATGAGCCCTCAGTGAAGGGTTGATTTTGAATTGTGGGTGTGACGGATCACTTTTCCTAACGTTGGGTGCTTTGGTTGGAAATATGATGATTTTTAAGATCCCAAGTAATGCAGCTTCTGGGCAGTGGTGTTAATGATCTTTTGATAATTCGATTATCTGAATAGATTAGAAAGAAAGTTTGGAAAAGTGGGATGGTGAACTTCTCTTTGACATTTGATGGAATATTTGATAATTCAACATTGGTTCTTTATTTTTTGTTTAGCATCAATTTGATACTAGATCTGCAAACAGATACAAAAAGAGAGCCATTTGACCCATTTTTTTTTTCAATTTGGACATGTGTATATTCAAACTAATTCCATTTAGTTCTTTTGCTCTGTGTCCGGATAAAATAGATCTCAGAGAAATTTTCCCATAGTGTAACGAATACTATGTATGTGACTTTCAAGTTTTGGAAGGTGATTGCTTTCATAGAATGAATCTGATCTATCCGCCAAAAAACTTGTTTGTAGTGTTCTCCTGTGATGAAGATCCATTACTGCTAGTGCTCTGGGTAGAAGGGGTTTTTTGTCCCCTTTTCTTTATTGGATGCTACACCTTGTGACTAGCTAATCTCTTATGTTCTTATTCTTCTTACACCGAATTTTAGTGTAAATAAGTTTAAAACAATAGACTAAAAAGAAGAGAAGAGATTTTGAAAAGGTGAGAAAGTGAACTTCTCTTTGTAACCTCACAATTGCAGATGTAAAACAGTGATTTGTGTTTCATCAGTTATAGTAAAGGTTGAACTGATTGAGATATTACGAGCAGCTTCAAATATGACTTATTGATTTAGGATGCTGGTTAATATTCTAAGCTTTAGAGGCTGTAAGAAATGACTAACAAGATCTAACAAGGTGTTTCTTAAAAGTAATGATGTGAGGCTTCTTTGGTAGTAAGAGACAATTTGAGTTTTTAATGTAAAACTTGTGTATCTATATTCTGTACGGTACTTCTACTTTCTTCTTGTTGAGTTCTACGGAGATCTTAGTGATCATGGTATAGAACATTTGAATGCCATCTTGACCATGTTTTATTGGGTTTGTTTAGCTGCGGTGGTTACTAAAGACTCGTGGGAGAAATCAATATTGAACAGTGATAGCCCTGTTCTTGTTGAATTTTATGCAAACTGGTGTGGCCCCTGCAGGATGGTCCACCGAATTATTGATGAGATTGCAGGAGAGTATGCCGGGAGACTTAGCTGCTTTGTGCTCAATACGGATGATGACTTGCCAATTGCAGAGGATTATGAAATCAAGGCTGTACCTGTGGTGTTACTGTTCAAAAATGGAGAGAAGCGGGAGTCTGTTGTTGGAACCATGCCGAAGGACTTTTATATCGCTGCCATAGAGAGGGTTCTGAAGTCATAAACAATGATATAGTGCATAACTGGGATGTCCAGTAAAGGTTTCAGCTCTTCTTGCATATATATATATATATATATATATATATATGTTAATTGGATTGTAAGTGCATAACTTGTACATCTTTTAGTTGTATCTTGCTAGTTGTTGTTACCCACCATAGCTTCCAAATGGTCTCAATGGCCCTTTTTGGTTCACGGTTGTCCTTTTTTACTGGAGTCTTGAAACTTAAAAACTGTTCTATCAATCCAATCTTTGCGTTGCCCCCAGATTCTCTTTTACATATTTAGATGGCGTTTCAAGTTAGAAGGCAGCAGTGTATGGTTCAAGATAGGAACCAAAATTTGATAGTGCTGCATTATCAAAGCTTCCACTGTTTCGGGTAGTAATAACTTTTGCACTTTGATACGAGGTAGGTAAAGCAGGAAAGGAAAGCTATTAAGCAAGGAGGAATGCTTTCTGAAAACATAAGCAAGTTTTCAGTTTTGTCTTTTCAACCTTCTAATTTCTTCCAATTAAGTACGGATACAAGAAGAACGAGAACTCCATTTGTTTCTAACTGAAGACTTTGATCTTATCTCAAAAAAAAAAAAAAAGTAAAAATCTTTTGATCGAACTTACTCTCTATCCAAATTTTACTTCATTTTTTAAGACTTTGAGTTAAAACAACAGACATTTGCCCTTTTCCCCGTCAACTAAGTAATTCATTTTTACTTTTTACCATTAATTTTGGGGTTTAATTTTTAAGCGATGATTATTAGTTACGCCGAACCACTGCAGACTAACAGGCGTAAGAAATTCCAAGCGTTCTTACAAGAACAAAATCTAGCCGTCCATAAAACTAGACAAACAACTCTGTTCGCACGATTTTATGTTTATTTTCCCTCAAAACTGTCTAGGAATGCCTTCCCAATAGTAGAGCAAAACAAAAGAAAGTAAAGCCACTTCTGATAGCCCGTATCTATCCATCTCTATGCAAAAACGGTAGCTGTACTACGAAAGCAACTAGTTCCTCCATGGCAATGATCTCCTAATTTTCTCTCCATTTTTTAACTTTCTGATTCCCAGTTTTTTTAGATTATCTCAATTTGTCTTTCTTTTAAAGGAATAAGAAAAACCCATCAAGGAAAACACCTTCCTTTTTCCCCAGGTTTCTTCATTTTTCTCTTGAGATGAACCTGATTTTTATTTGACTTTCTGGGTTTGAAATAAAGATCCGTTTTTCTAATAAATATTGGATCTTCTTATGTTTGTTTTTGGGTTTCAGGATCTGAGATTATTGGTTTCAGGAGACGGGGGCGTAATATATGGTGTTATGGTTTTGACATAAGGTACCCTTTTTCTCTATCTTTGGTGTTAATTCGTGTTTCATTTCTATTTTTCTTGATTGAGTGATCATTTCATATTTTAGTTTTTGTTTCTTGGGAAAATATTGGGATTTAAATAGATATTGAAGGGTTTTCTTTTAACCCTTTTTTTAGTTCTTTGTAGCTATGGAGTTTAGTGATTGAATTTAGGAGGGTGTGTGTCTGTGCAGGATTCTCATTATGAATACGTGATAAAATAAAGTTTGTCAATTTTAATTGAAACTCAAAGACTTGGGACGATACTTGAACGGAAACAATTGTCAAGTTTGGTCTTCAATTCCAAGAATTAAGAAACTGATTTGGTGTGGGAAATTCTAGGAAATTTTTTGGTATTCAGCTTTCTGCATCCAAAGAGCCCTCCTTTAAAGGCGTATTTACCTTTCACATTGTTGTTTTTGACATCTTTTACTGAACACTTGCTTATATATAACTGTTTTAACAACCAGTGGCAAAATAAATTATGGAACCAACATTTTTCTCTCAAGGGCCACATGATTATGTTCTTTTTAAAATGCTTTTTTCTGTTTTACTTTGAATGATTTATGTAACAAGTATCTGGAGCAGATGCTAAAGGAAAACATCAAGAATGGTGTGTAGTTTCCATAACTACGCAAAACATTGCCATAAAATGTAAAGTTCTGGCTGATATACAACTAATTGTAAGGCAAACTACTAGGAGAACCAGTTTGTGGTATTCCTCCTCACTCTTTCTTCTTTTTGCCATATGGATGGCCCATGATGAACTGCTTGTGCTTTGTTTATACCCTTTAAGGCATAGTTTTATGTATAACTTGCAACTCTGCTGATGGGTACTTGCCAAGCTTAATCATAGCAATTGACTTGTTTCTTAACGTTTCTTCTTCAGTTATCGGATTGGTCCTTGGCATACACACGATTTGCTTTGTTCAGCCTTAAGGACTACTTTTCCCAACATCCTTGCATTTCCATCAATTTTCTGCTGGTTAATTTTCTGATAAAAGAGTGGGGATGGCCAATCTAAATGCATCTACATCTGTAGTTCCTTCAGAATCCTCAGAACAAAGGGGAGCTCTTATGGTAGATTCAAACGTGAATGTACTTCAACCTCCTTTGAACCAGCAAACTCGAACCTCCACTGATGGTCCTGTGGCTATCCTTTGGGATATAGAGAACTGCCCTGTCCCAAGTGATGTCCGCCCTGAAGATGTAGCTGGGAATATAAGAATGGCTTTGCGAGTGCATCCTGTAATTAAAGGAGCCGTTATGATGTTCTCTGCATATGGTGATTTTAATGCCTTCCCGAGGAGACTTAGAGAAGGCTGCCAGAGAACTGGTGTCAAACTCATAGATGTCCCAAATGGAAGGAAGGATGCTGCTGACAAGGCTATCTTGGTTGACATGTTTTTATTTGCCCTGGATAACCCTCCACCTTCGTCTATCATGCTGATCTCAGGGGATGTTGATTTTGCTCCCGCTCTTCACATCCTTGGTCAACGTGGATATACAGTCATTCTTGTTATTCCTTCTGGGGTAGGTGTTTCATCTGCGCTGAGCAATGCTGGTAAATTTGTATGGGACTGGCCTAGTGTTGCTCGTGGGGAAGGCTTTGTACATCCCTCAAAGGCCTTAATGCCTCCTCGAGGACCAGCTGATATTACTGGGTATTTCATGGGGTGCCATATTAGTGACAATCCAGATGGGCAAAATGAGGAAGAGGCAATAGTTTATAGGGGCATGTCGCACAGCTATTACAACTCGAGAGATTTTTCAATTTTATCACAATCTTTATCTGAATATACAAGCAACCCTTCAATGGGCATACCTTCTTACCCTACAACTTTGAGGTCACAAAGTCTCCCATCTGGTTTAAATGAAGCATCAGGATGTCCTGGCTTTTGTGATCAGAATGATACTATGTGGGTACAGCCTGGAGACATAAATGGTTTGAAGGGACAACTAGTGAAATTGCTTGAACTTTCAGGAGGATGCCTGCCTCTTACCCGTGTTCCTGCTGAGTATCAAAAATTTTTTGGGAGGCCTCTTTATGTGGCAGAGTATGGGGCATTCAAACTTGTTAATCTTTTCAAAAAGATGGGTGACACTATGGCAATTGATGGAAAAAGTCATAAGAAATTTGTCTACCTTCGAAATTGGAAAGCAGGCCCAAGTGCACCTCCTTTGGTTCTAGCAAGGAAAGATAAGAAAGGGAAGGGGAATCAGGAGGAAAGCATGGATGTTACTGCAGGTGCTGGCTCTTCTGATGAGTTTTCTGATGAGGAAAGAGTGGTGGTAGAAGAACGTGATGAGAGGAGGAATGAAGGACGGACTAACTTTGGAGCAGCTGGATGTGACGTTGATAACTGTAATCTTGAGCAATTTAAATATGAGTTGCAGGAAATTCTGGTGAGTTATTCTTGCCGAATTTTCTTGGGCTGTTTTGAAGAAATATACCAGCAACGGTACAAGAAACCGTTGGATTATAGAAAGCTTGGTGTGGAGAAGCTGGAGGAGTTGTTTGATAAGGTGAGGGATGTTGTGGTCTTGCATGAAGAACCAGTAAGCAAGAGGAAATTTCTCTGTGCGGTAGGTACCTAGAAGAATCAGTCAGATTTTTTCTGTGCGGTAGGTAACCGTTGATTTTTATTTTTTTTTAACTTGAATAGATCAGACATTTGGGCTGTGCTTATCGATGCTTGGTCTCTGATCTGTCTCTGGTTTTTTTTTTTTTATTTCCTTTTTCTGGAATTTTTTTGGCCAAAGGTTTCATAAGTGATAGATAGGATAGGCTGGGAGCACGTTATTTTTGTTGTGCATCGTGCATGGATTTGGAGTTTGAAGTTTCCATGTAATTCTCCTGCCTTGTCATCGTAAGTTGTAACTGATCAACCACTAATGTGGAACTCTGTTGTAAATTAATATCTCGAGCAATAAATCCTACGCTTTTGTTTCCTCCAATTTTTTTTATAGTAAGATCAGATGGAATTTCCAGCCAGTAATTTGCACCGTCTCTGGCTTCTATCAGATTGGCTTAAGATGCGAGCGCAGAGACCATCTATCAGTTTGGCTTAAGGTGCGAATGCAGAGACTATCAGACTTGTCCGTGTTTCCACTGAGCTCGTACCTGCTCAGATATCCATAATTCCCAAATTAATCACTTTGAGGGATACTTGCTACTCCGACATCAATGTCCATAGTGAGTTGGAACCTGGCTCTACTGAATTTTCCTGCTAAGGTTATTCTTGCTGGTTGCACTACAGCTTTCATACCTGAAGGAACTCTCACCACTGCTCAACAAACAGAGCTACCATCTGCCACAATTTGTCAGCTTCTGGAAGGTGATGCAGGTGGTGTTTGTATTCTTCAATATTACGATCAATGATGGGTAATTAAGATCCAGGTTAGCATTATCACATGTAAAGTGAAATGCAACGTGATAGTTGGGATCTGTGATCTCGTATAGTTTAACCCACACAGGTAATTGATGGTAGTCTTGAATCTCAATGTCGTAGTCGAAGCCAGGGTCCATGGCTTTGTTAGGATTTACTGCTCCGAAATCAAGATGAGTCCCACGAACTCCTGTGATCATATCAATGATACGGCCGTTTGCATTATCAGTAACATCAGCGGTTGTCATCATTGCTGATCGGATGGCTACCGAACTCCAGTCCCGGTGGGTGGCTTTAAGCAGTTTGGCTATGCCAGCTGCATGGGGGGATGACGTGGATGTTCCAGATATAATAGCGTAATCTGTAAGCAAATAATCATCATCACCAATTGGTGCTAAGCCGCTGTTGGGGAACCATGCAGCTGAGTGTCGACTCCAGAATCCAAGACATCGGGTTTCAGTATCCATGGTGATCTCCTATCAGGTCCTCCAGATGAAAAATAAGCCACTTGCTGGCCTAGTACTCAAAAGGGTTGTT